GGTCGTCCAATGGAACAAGAAAAAAGCAAAGAAGATGAGGAAATTACTAAAACTTTTCGCAGCCCTCAGTTCAAATCATTTGAACCAATCCTGATGATCAGTAGGTCATCACCTGTAGTCGCGTTTTTTCAGAAAAATTTGAAATCACTTTAACAAAATAATAGAGAAACATTTTGCTAGACAGAGATTATGTTGCAGAGGATTGAAAGTTCCAAAAATCCTTACCCTGGTGCATAATCACACACAACAACAGTGGCTTCTTTAGCCCAAGGATGAGGTGTCCTCCCCGCTGATTTCTCACAAAATGAGACACCACAGCCCAAGTGTCTGCTTGTTGCCCAAACAAGCTGTGAAATAGAAATCGTCTCATATTGAGAACCATTTTTAAAACCTAAAATCCAAGAAAAAACTCTTTGAACACATGGTCCTTTAAAGTGCAGATTTTCTGAAGCAAAGAAAATTTGTTAATAACCATAATCAAAGAAATGTTTCTTTATGTAGTATTATTTCAATATATGTTGGGTAGTCTACACTGTATATTATTGACCAGGACACTCAATAATATTAAAGAAAAAAAAGTTTAATAGTCTATAAAAGCCACTCCAGCAACTTTTACAACCAAGACAGGATTTCTTTTTTGAGCTATATACAGAAATTTATTTATAAGAAATAGTATATTGCACATTTAACAGTGATTTTGTTGATAATTCTTTTTTTACAAATATATCCATGCGTCGAATAACAACTTTACTTTTCCCCTGTTTTTGAGCCTCAGCCACAGTTTCTTTCCCGTGTAATGGACCTTCCACCCGCTAAATAATGTATATACACGACGCCATAAGTTGTAATAGATTAATAGTCTCCCACACCCCTCTCACGAATAATAGATAGATAGATAGACTGGTTTATTAAAATCTCATCGCAGTAAAATACTGAATTGCGCAATTTTTACAAGCTACTACTATACAAATATAAAATATGATGACTTAAAGTTCTATTAAAAGTTCTATTACATCTCAACTTGGGTTGGTTTCAGCCGCACCCTTCACGAAAAACGAATTAGCAAAACGCTTTGTCTTGGCTGCTGGTACATTGTACGTTCTTTGGCGCCTTAAATTATAATGA